GGTTTTCTCAACTGTATTTTGAAACTTATTTTTTTAACACTTTGTATTAATAGTTTTCAAAATGTTTTCGAAATTCCATTAAAGTAAGTCCTTTTCAACAATAAAAGCGACTCAAATTAAGCATGACAAATTCCCTTATAGGAAAAATGAATAATTATTCGAGTGGCTGCAACTGTCATTTTTTACATAAAATTTCACATATCTCAAAAACGGTTAGACCTAGGTATAGGATTTTATGCATGAAATACATTTAGAATTTGGAGTGGAATTCAAAAATGTAATAATATATAGGGTGTTCCATTTAAAATAAGCAAGTTGATACGCACTTCCGGTATAACCGGAAGTGCGGACATCTTGAAAATATTTTAGGCGGCGTGCCCCCAATGACCTGGGCACACTGCCCAATTTTCAAATTTCTGCTAATTACAGTTTGCCAGGTGGGACACCCTGTATAACGTAAGTGTGTTTCCAGAACAACAATTAAAATAATCAAGTATCCTGGCTCTTGTACAGATTTTCACTTCTGGTTCTTTTGACTCCTATCTCTTTAGAGATTATAAATTTCAGCTGGAAGCTCACCGGTGAAAATAACTTTCTAGTATTAGGAGTTTTAAAAATGCTGGCATCTGACACTATAGTTCAAGAAATGGCCTGTTAAAGCGCTCCTCAGTTGATCTGTTAGGTCGATTCGTTTACTCAAAATGCACATTTTGAACTTACCGAAACAGCGCCCCTAAGAGTCAAAAACCCAAAAGGACCATTTGATATGTTAAGCGACCGCTTGCACCTCAACATCATGAAAAGAACAAGTTCTTGTGCCTCTTTATCTAATTCGTACCAAGGGAAATGGTACAGAGCATCAGATAGATCAAAGACACTCTGAAAATACATTGTTTGAAGAAATAAGTAAATTATTTTCTAATACTGACCGTGACGATGATTTCATTGGCATTCCAAGACAAAATGAAAAGAGACAAAGTGCTCAGCAAGAAGAAGATTCCATTGAAAACCATTTTGATTCCCTGAAAATTAAACTCCGTTTTCTTAAGTTTTTTGAGCTAATCGTATTCACTCGCCTGAAGAATCTCCGTTAGTGTCGAAGCCAAAGTCAGAGAGACTACACTGTATTCCAGTAGAATTATGTATTTAAAGCTGTCATTGAACTTGCAGACCCAACTAAAACATGCATCAAGACAACAGAATCAAACTGAAACTAATGGGTTTTTCAGGTTTTTAGGCCGTCGTTCGGTAGAATTTCTTCCTGACGTTTCGCAAGCACGAGTGGCTTGCATCTTCAGAAGTGGTTTGCTTGAACGCT